CCCCAAAACCCCAAAACCCCAAAACCCCTTAAAATTTAAGTTATCTAAATTTGGATAATAAATATTTGTAACTTTAATATAAATAAAACTATGAGTATTTTTTCAATCAAAGTTAGTATAAAAAATTTTAATATTTTAATAATAGAATGCAAAGTACAATAAGTTTCAGCAGTCAATTCGATAAGCAGCTACAATAGTAAAAATTGATGAGACAATATTTAAACAATTAGCAATCCAAGTTCAAGATCAGATTAATGAATCATACCCCTGAATTAGTAGAAAGCTTAACTCCCACAGAAAGCCTAACCTATTTACCTTTAAGAGCTTAGTTCTAAACTTTAACTCATGATCAGAGCTAATTAGAATTGATAAAATCCGCATTACTAGGATTACCGAAAATCGATCATATTAGTCCCCGTACACCCAATCTTATCAAGAGAACTGAACCTTTGAAGATGAAAAACGATAATTTGATGAAATTACTTATGAATTGACAGGCAAAGCAAGCTTAAAACAAGGAGAATAATCATTAGTAGGAGGGCATCAAGTAAAAAAAAGAAAGAGAAATAGAACAAATTACAAGATATAAACTAAAGATTGAATAGCCTGTTAATCTATAGAATTCAGGATATAAAAATACCAAGAGAAAATCTTAAGCTTAATGCTAGCTAATAGATACTTCTTATTTTGACTTAAAGGGAAGCAAGACAAGGAAATCCTCTATGAATGATAAAGAATCAGATAATATGAATGGTAGTTGCAATTAAGAAACATTTAGAAATAGACTCCAAATAAAGATTGAGAAATTCAGACAGTTAAAAGATAAACGAAGGCTTCGCATTCAGATAGACAAGTTTAGTGATAACAATAAAAGTGAAAATCACCTAGGGAGTGATCTTTAAGACTTCAAATACTAAAAATAGCTTACTTTCAATACTAAAAACAAAAACCACCAAGAAGCTTTATTTTCATTCAGAGCCTCTCCAATATCGAAGAAAGATAACTCACCTAATTGCTTTACAAATAAAAACAGTGATGATAGTCTGATTGAATCTCCTCTTCTTAATATTTCAAACCCTAAGATCGATGGCAAGATAGAGGGATTTTATAATCAATCTAAAGCAGATCTGAATACTAATGATGCTACTCCTAAGAATATACTATCTTAAAGTTTGAACAATAATGATTAGAGGAAAAGTGTTTCACTAAATTTGGAATAGACATTGTAGATGCAAGAAAGAATAACAGCCATTACAGAAAAAATTACAAAGCAAAAACGGAACAAAAATAAACTAATACTAAATAACAAAGTAAAGACATTACTTGATAGAATTAGGACGCAACAGGGAAATTAATCGCCTAAATTTGCCTAGTCATGAAAATACAGATAATTGAACTTTGTAGATTAGAAGCTATTTTATTGATTATTCGCTTCTTGTTTTAAAAAAAACATGCACAGTCAGATATTTAGTTAAACTTATATATTCAACTGTGTTTTATAATAATTAAGGACTTATTAATCGCTTAAGGTAAAATATATACATAAATTTAGTATCAATATTTTCTCTATAATTTGATATTTGAATTGATGGGGTTTTGGGGTTTTGGGGTTTTGGGGTTTTGGGG